TGAGAATGTGCACTTAGAAAGCTTTAACCTCTGTTCAAGAAGAGCCTCTGGGGTACTCTCTGCACCCCCCTCTCACCAAGCGGTCCAGCGTTTCCTTGAAAACCCAATACAGGAACTTCACCCAAGAAGCTTTACTTGGCCGATCTCACATAACTCTTCTTTTTCTGTGCTTTCCTCATTTTTTTCTACATTATGGCTACTAACTGATGTGCTGCTGGTGCTGTGAGTATTCAGTGTGTGGAGTTCTCTGCCACTTCAGTTGCCGTGTCCTCAGAAGAGATCGGCTGCTCTTTCTTTCCCTTCGGAGAAATCCTGACAGTCTTCAAGCACAGACTTTGTTTTGGGGGAATTTTTTTTTTTTTTTTTTTTTGGTGCAGTCTTGGGCTAGCTGTCAGAACTGCACATCTATAACTTAACATTTATTAGCTCCATAAAAGTTTAATATTAATTGGCTTCCACCAACCACTTTTTGAAACATGGAAAGTTCTGAATTTTTATTTATTTAGTAAGAATTTTATTTTAAAAAGAAGATAACCAATTTTAGTTTTGTGAATTTTTCTAATACTAGAAGTAAATAGAAAACACCTCAAATGCTATCTATGCTAATGGGTACTGCTGCTGCTTTATCACTTGTGAATTTTTCAGATTGTTCTAGAATGTTTATGTTCTTTTGCTTTACTTTAAGTTTGTTGTATTTTCCATAATTTAGCTAAAGACATAGACATCCTGTCCCCTATCTCTGTCTCTATAAACCTCAGCACTAGAGGATGGTCTTTTGTTTAGATCCAATTAAATGAAAAATCGATTCCACATCATATTAAAACATTTTTGGAGCCCAGTCTAAGACCAGGATCGTTTAGTTCATCCAGGCTTTGTGCAGCCCGGAGGCCCTTCCTGCTGCCTGCACTGGCTGCTCTCTGAATTAGTAATTAACTGCCAGGGATCGGAGGCATGTGCAGGCATGTGAATCTTTTTTCAGGTACCTTATGTTCTGCAGTCTGTGGCCTCCAAGAAAGATACTTTTTGTGCTTTGTTAATGACTAAGCCAAAATAAATAGATGTTCTTGGGCTGTGTGAGCGGCTGAGCATTTCGTTTTGACTCCTTTCTTTACTGCATTTGCATAGTTGTCCCCTTCTCATTGTAGATCACAGTGAGGTGCTTCTCAGCGTGTCTCTCTGGAGCAGGAGACTGGCATCTGGAGGGAGAGTCGGTGCCATGTGCCTTCGCACAGCGTGGCCACAAGTCCAGGATAAGGCACGGGCATTTAACAGTGTTTTTCTTCCCTTGCAGTATTCTTTTTTTATCTTTGTTGTTGAAAGTATTACAGTTGTCCCCCCCTTTTTTTCCCATTGTCCACCTCCACCCAGTTCCCACCCCACCCCAGGCCTTCACCACCCTATTGTCTGTGTCCGTGGGCCATGCATATGTGCATATAAGTTCTTTGGTTAATCTCTTCCCACCACCCCCCTTCCCTCTGAGACCTGTCGGTGTGTTCCATGTTCCCATGCCTCTGGTTCTATTTTATTTGTCAGCTTATTTTGTTCATTAGATCCCACATATAAGCGAGATCATGTGTGATCTTTCTCTGACTGGCTTATTTCACTTAGCACAATACTCTCCAGGTACCTCCATGGTGTTTCAAAGGGTAAGAGATCCTTCTTTTTAAAATTGAACTACCATTTGACCCACTGATCCCACATCTAGGAATATATTCTACGAAGCCTGAAACACCAATCATAAAGAATATATGTTCATAGCAGTGCTGTTTACAATAGCTAAGTTCTGAACACAGCCCTGGTGCCTGTCAGTAGATGAGTGGATACAAAGCCATGTGTTTACACAGTGGAGCACTGGGGAGTATTCTTATAGAGTGATCCTCACATTAGTAATTTTGCACCTGGTTCTCATCATTGCACAGACATTTCATGAGCACCCACATCCTGTGTGCCAGGCACTATTCCAGGGAAGGCTAGTGTCCTATCTTTGAGATAACGAGACCTTCTTATCTTACCTTTTATATTTTCTCTTAATAGTAGGGGGTCCCCAAACTCATGGCCTGTAGCTACTTTGTTCTCCTTAGAAGCTTCACGGATAGGAAGCTGCACTTGCCACCTGATCTCTGCTAATGAAGGGGAGGGCCCACCACAGACCAGTCTGGAGTTGCCTCCTCATCCTCTAGCTCAGGAAGGGAGGTACCCCTCCCCCCCCCGTCACTTATCTGCAGCTTGCTCCTGCCTTGTGGGGCTAGCCTCTTTTTCTTTTGTATATTGGGCACCACAAAGGGGAATGTGACCCCATTTGGGTCATATTGATGCCTACAGGAAGCATAGTGCTTTCTGACCACACTGCTGTTGGCATTTCATGCTCTTAATAAGCTAAGAGTTTTTTAGCTTCCCCTTCTTGCAATTATCATTCCTTTCTTCATTTTATTTTCTTTCCTCCCAATGTATGGGCTGGGTTGACTTTAGATTCTGCTAGAATTAAGTGGTGTCGGTCAGTATGTTGGACAGGCAGGCATTTCCGTTCTGTCTCGAAGGGATCCACCTTGGTGTCCTTGATTAATGTACGTGCTTGGACTGGTGATTGCGTTGGAGGGTGGAAACCTGAAACTCCTCTTGTCCCTCGGGAAGCGTTATTCTGCAGGAGGCTGGAGGGGGTGTCTGGGAGGGAAGAATTTCACGGGCTCTGGGCCTGATCTATGGCCAACTCTCACTTAAGAGTAAAGGAGAAAGGGAGTCGTTGCAGGGCGGCTGAGCGAGGTCTCAGCCTGGGAGCTACACCAGCCTGTTTGACTTCTCCGGACAGAAAGAGTGATTGACCTTTTCTTTACAGTATAATTTCCTTCTCCATTTTCTTTCCCTATAACTCACTGCTCTGATACCTGTCTGAGTTGGGAGGTGCTTGAGACCTCAGACAACCTGCAGTGGAACATGGCACCCAGAGTCTGGGGGAACGAGGACAGAGACAGGAGGCAGTTGAGGATGACAAGGGAAGGAGGAAGAATCTGCTGCTTCGTTTTCTCCTTCTCACAGCTGGTCCTTCGTTTCCCCTTGGCATATTAAAGCCTGCGTGGTCTCGCGCGAAGTGTTCCCATCTGGATAAGCAGCGGCGAAACGCATCTTCATCGAGACCCAAAGGAACCTTTGTTGGCAGATGTAGTTAGTGATTGACTCAAAGCTGGAAAAAATATATATATGTATGGGAACTAAGTAGGGGAAATGTTTTTTTCTGGCCTCTTACAGTAGTGGGAGACAGGAAGGGGAATTGTACCTCGTCTTTATCACAGACAACAGCTTTCACTGAGTCTGTCTTGGCAGGAAGGGTTTGTTGAGAGCTGATGGTCTCCTCAGAGGAGCTGGAGAAACGGGGTTCCAGCTGAGTCCCAGGCACAGCACCCACACAACATCATACTACTGGCCCGGTGAGGTTTGCTGCCACCTCTGCCACCGTGTGCACCTGCCAAGCAGCTGCTCTTTACCCATCCTACTATCCCCACGCCCCTTCCAAACCGGCCTGGGTGGTGTGTCAGCATGGAGCCAGCCCTGAGTCTTCACCCTAACAGCAAAGGAGGTTGAGAATTGTAGTTTGTGTGGATTCTGTATTGGGAAAGTGGGGTTGACTACATGGGGGAGCATCAAAATGTGGAGCTATGTTATGGCCGGTGGCTCGGTTGGAGTGTCATCCCATGCACCAGAAGTTTGTGGGTTCAATTCCCAGTCCGTGCACATACCTAGGTTGTGGGTTTGATCCCTGGTTAGGACACATAAGGAAGACAACTGATGGATGCATCTCTCTCTCGCTCTCACTCTTTCTCTCTACATCACTTCCTCTCCCTCCCTCCCTCTCAAATCAATAAACTTGTCCTGGGGTAAAGATAAAAAAAATGTGTGGAGCTGTGACAGGGTTTGGGACAGCCACAAATTTACATGTTCCTTACAAGACTACATCAGTAAGTAGAGCACAGATATTCCTAATGGCAGGAGTTAACAGTAAAATTTTAACAACTGCAAAATTTTCAAAAATTCTAGAAGGCATTATTTTACAACTGTGTCTGCTAAGGGACCTGTGGTTGTCTACACCACTGTTCTACGTGTTTATCCTTCATTCACTCTCTTAGGTTGGTTGTTCTACTTTCTGATGTGTCCCACACACTTAGTGTCCATGGTGTGGTGGCAAGTGTCCATGTGATCAGGCTGCCTGAACAGGAGGCGTTTGAAATGCCTTATCTCAGGCTTTGTGAAGCCGTATTCTTGTGCAAAGGTTGCTGAGATGTCGACTTTTTATTTTCACTTGCCACTGAAGACCTTTTAAACAATCGGGTCCCTCTGGAGGAGAAACAACCAGGTTCTTAATAAAACTGAAATTTAGCCTGATTTTTATGCAGCATGAATTTTTATAAACATTTTTGTAGAGAACTATATGGAAGTTTGGGTTTTTTTTTTCCCAAACTATCTATCTATTCTTTTCAAAAAACTATTCGTTTAGTAAATAAATGTATACTTCTCTGGAAAGGAAGCAAAATACATTATTTCCCATATGTAGAAGCTCCTATCAAGTACACCAGTGAAATTCTAATTCTCTTCATACTGAAATCTGATACAGAAAACTGTGCCATAACATTGTAACTTTAGTTATCATGTTAAGGTTTTGTTCACCATGGCTTCTGAATAAAATAGATAGAGATGTGGGGCATATGAACAGTCATCTGAGGTGGTGGCTCTGGGACTTGAACACTTTCTGGGAAGTACCCAGCTGTTTCCCTTTTTGATGCACCCTGTCTGTATGCTGTTTCCAGACTAGAGCATGAATGTTTGTACACATGGTCATGGAAAAGAACCAGGAACCTTAATTAAAGAGTTTCCCCAGTTCCTTGGCAACAAAAGATGAGTGAAAAACTTCTCCTTTTTATTTTTTTTTACCTCAGTAAATAGTTCCTTTAAATATTTTTCTATACTGGATATCATCTTTTTCATTTATTTATTTTTTTATCATTCTACAGGGGGTTAAATACCTGTGCATTCCAGCAGCGGATTCACCATCTCAAAACCTGTAAGTTGCTGTTGTTGTTGTTTCTGTATTATTTGGGGATGTTAAACATGAATAAGGGAGTGTAAAGTCAAAAGAATAAAGGAGAGGGAAGTCACGGGAGCCCCCGGGAGGGCCCCTGGCCTCTCAGGGGGCGGGAGCTGGCGCAGGCATCTTGTGTGCCCGTCCCTCGCTGCGACCCTGAGCGATGGGGCACTGGATGATCTGTGATCTGAGCGATGGGGCACTGGATGATCTGTGATCTGAGTGATGCGACACTGGATGATCTGTGATCTGAGTGATGCGACACTGGATGATCTGTGAGGAGAGGCTAGTTTCTAAAGAGAATACCTCAAATCACACTTTTAGCATGTTCATCCTTCCTCTGGAAGCAAACCCTTAAAGAAGCTGTTTGGTTTTGTCCAAAGCACCACGGGCCAATGGAAAGACTGTGAGCACAATGCAGGTCATACATGTGATTTTAAACTTGCTAGGAGGCACATTTAAAAAAGTGAAAAAGAAATAAGAGACAATAATTTTAGTAATATGTTTTATTTAACCCAATATATAAAAAATATTACCATTTCAACCGTGTGCTCAATATTTTTTTTTTTTATGAAATATTTTACATCCTTTTTTTCATACTAAGTCATCAAAATCAGGAAGGTTTTTTGTTTTGTTTATTACACTTATAGCGCATCTCAGCTCAGATCGGCTTTATTTCAAGCACTCGGCAGCCACATGTGGCTGGTGGCCATGATGTGGAACAGCAGACTTGCAGCATCTGTCTGAGTCAAGTGAATGGGTCTTTCTGGTTTAGGAAAGTCCAGTTCTCGGCTTCTTCACAGCTGACTACATCTTTGACAGCGTTTTGTCCCTATACAGAGAAATCCGTAATCACTGTCTTGTCCAGATCACAGCAATCAAATGGAGACCCATAGAATTAGGCTTTGGCAGAATGGGAAACAGGTCTCTGGGGATCCACAATAGTTGTGGCACTAACATTGACACTCTTCAGTTTCCAGCAGTGACCCAGAAAGGCCATGACATGGAGTACAGGTTTACTGAAGCATGGATTTGAACTTTGCAGGCTGAGAGGCTGGGGAAGAAGTAAAGTCCTTAGCCATTCAGTGTACCCACAGACTCCCAACCTCTGCCTCTCTGGCTGGCCCTGTGCTATTATTGGAGGTCAGGCACAAGGACCCTTAGGGAAGTATAAGCTCTGGTGGTGTTTGTGAATTTGAGAGTCCATAGTCTTGTCAGGATGCATCTCTCATGATTCTCGTGTTCTATTGACTGCAAATCCTACGTATCAGAGTGCAGAGCATGGACGCTCATGTGTAGGATCTCAAGTATCCAGCCTCTGAAAACTGTCGTATTGGAACATTAGTCGTCCTTGATTGTTCACCACTGCAGAGAAATCACAGGTTCTGCAATAATTTTTTGCGATCTACCTGTTTGACCCCCCCCCAAAAAATTGGGGCTAGAGTCAGAAGGATTGATGTGGGAAGATGAGGAGGCTAGATCAGAGGAACAGGTGGTAAAGAATTAGACCAGGAAAGGGTAGGGGCAGGTTGGAAGTGGGGGAAATACCTTCTAAACATGTTTAGAAGTGACTCATGTTTTCAAAGTGACTCTTGACATTTTACAGGAAAAGTCAATCTTGAACATTGGTGGAGGAAGGATTTTACTAAGATCACTAGGAAAACAGTAGTAGCTTAGATCAAGAAGGAGGGGAAGAAGCTTTGGAGAACTTCCTTGGTTACTAGCCATGTCAAGAAACAGAAGTGGTTGGAAGGGCATGGTGTGTACGGAAGGAAGTGAGCCACGGCCTTTCTCTGAAGGCCATAGCCATCTTCTGCCTGTGTTTTGGTGGCTATTTTTAGAACGATTGCTCTGCTTTCATCTCAAACTGAGATTCTAACACACTGTTGAATTTGTCAATACCTGATTGGCTCTCTGAGTCTGGAGGATTCGAACTGTAACAAACTGGGCATTTATTGTCGAGGAAGGTGACCACCTGTACTTGAGCTGCCCCCAGAGCTTCTCGGCTTAAATAGGGGCCAGACACAGGGCTTGCCAGGATGGTAACCCTGACCTCCCAAGTGAAGGGTAGTTGTGAGTGTCCCTGCACTATGTAGGCAAGCAGTTACCTAGAATTAGATATCTCAGGTTTAAACCCAGTTTCATCTCTTGTGGGCAAGTCATTTTAACCCATTTAAACCTCAGTTCTTTCATCTGAGAAAGGCCCACTTTTAGGATTTTGGGAGGTCATGGACGTGAAAGTGTTTTCTATGAACTTGAAGCACTTTCGAAGAGAAGAGCATATTGCTGTATCTTGGGAGTTACAGGCAAGGGTGTAGAAATAAGTCTGGTGTGCAGGAGGCCCGCTTCACTTACTTGGAAGGTGTTCTTAGTGGAAAGACCAGGTGACAGGAAGGTGCGGCAGCCTCTTCTCTGAGTTCCAGTGGCTCATGGGTCACTCCAAGTGTTCTGGCAAAACCAGCCCAATCACAGTCACCTTGGGGTCAGAGGTCTAACCCATAAGATTTTAATTAGTTCTTATCTGTCCTAAATATGTACAACAATGTTGTTAAAATGTATGGCTTACCTTTTTATCTGAATGAAAGTGCAGTGTGGGTTACCAGCTCCCAACAGGGAGTTATTGCAGCCTCCATGCTTAGGGCTGTGATAGAGCTGTACAGAGAGGGCTGCGATAGAGCCGTGCGGGGAGGGCTGCGATAGAGCCGTGCGGGGAGGGCTGCGACAGAGCTGTACAGAGAGGGCTGCGACAGAGCCGTGCGGGGAGGGCTGCGATAGAGCTGTACGGAGAGGGCTGCGATAGAGCCGTGCGTGGGGAGGGCTGCGACAGAGCCGTGCAGGGAGGGCTGCGATAGAGCTGTACAGAGAGGGCTGCGACAGAGCCGTGCAGGGAGGGCTGCGACAGAGCCGTGCGGGGAGGGCTGCGACAGAGCCGTGCGGGGAGGGCTGCGATAGAGCCGTGCGGGGAGGGCTGCGATAGAGCCGTGCGGGGAGGGCTGCGATAGAGCTGTACAGAGAGGGCTGCGACAGAGCCGTGCGGGGAGGGCTGCGACAGAGCCGTGCGGGGAGGGCTGCGATAGAGCCGTGCGGGGAGGGCTGCGATAGAGCTGTACGGAGAGGGCTGCGATAGAGCCGTGCGCGGGGAGGGCTGCGACAGAGCCGTGCGGGGAGGGCTGCGACAGAGCTGTGCAGAGAGTGCACCGTTGCTGCTGTTCGGCGGGCAGTCTTACAGTCCAGTTGGGAAAGGACATCAAGACCAAGAGACTGGCACTCTGCTGTGGGAGTTATGTGCATAGGCACTTGTGTGATTCGTTGGGGAAGAAACTTTTCTTTTTAAATCCTTAGTAATAGCAAAGCATATGCATAAGTAAGGCTTTGGGCATATAAATATCAATGACTCTATAAGTATTTCCTGCTCTGCTGAAGTTAGTTGGAGATGTTGGAGTTAAGTTGAACTTTGAGTGTGCTTCATGTGTTAGGATAGCCTATAAATAGCTCTTCCCTTTACCTGCTACAAACATTTCATTGGAAAGCATAACGTGCCTTCTAATGGGGAGCATGCTTCCATAATATAATCAGACCATTAGCTTAACGTTGCAGGCAGAGCACTCGACCGTGTATAGGACCTACCTCATTTCATGCAGCCTGTAAATGTTAGGGACATCTGAAGGCTGAAGTTTCTGTAATGTCAACCAGTGTCGGTGGTCAGGAGACAGATACTCTTACTGCTCTTGGTAACAAAAGCGAGGGGGGTCTGTCCATCCCTTGGAAAATGGATTCTGGGTAACTCAATTAGAACTGGTGGTTCTTTAATCTGGCCACTTGTAATTTCTAATGCCTGAGACTTCCTATGTTTAATGACAAAATAAATTCTAAGAAACTGTATTGCTTATTGTTTTAAACTTACTTGTAGATTTTTAACATTATTTCCAACTTTGGATATAATTTAAGGTTTTATATCCTAAATCTTGACCCAGAACTTTCTATACCAACAGGAATTCTTCTTGCTAATTATGCTCAGTAAGAAGTTGGTGACCTTTTGAGACTAACTGCTGTCACTGGGCATTCAGTTGCTTCAAACGAACTGCCCAGAAAGGTCAATTTTCTGTTTTGGCCTTAATACAGACTCCCCATCTGATCTTCCAGGAACTTATGTAGAAATCTGTTTTGTGATAACATGAACACATTAAAATTTTAGCTTAGTCTCCCCAACCATCTTGCCTTGCAGAGGCAGGGAACATGAAAGTTCCAAATTCTCATAGTTGTGATACTCCCCCAAGACACAGGCTGCCACGTTCTGCATGCTTCGTCACACTCAGAGACATCCTGGTCTGTATCAGATGTGCACGCGTCCTCCGGCGGCCAGTGGAGGGTGGGTCGGGGAATTAGGCTTTGAAAATAATTGCTTTTGCTCTTTCTGTGCTTCCTTAGGCAAGTTACCTCAGCCTTACTTCTCTCACTGTAAAGTAACTCACCCAGTTTCTATAGCATTAGGTGAGACAAAGAAAAATGTTTTTTATGAACACTAAGCGTCTCCAAAAATAAGGTTATATTTACTGTGTATTCAAGTAAGAAGTGTTAATGTACTTTGAGGGTGAATGGTTGATGTATAGTAGCTTATTTCATTCATTCTTATTTTAATGGTCATTTCATTGGTATTTTGTGTGTAGACATCATTAAGGGAATAATTCTTGTTTTTTATCTTCTCCTGTCAAGTCCAGGGAGCGTGGTCTGTGCCGTGGAGCCGTAGCATTGCATCATCACCATAGAGCCTTTGTGACCAGCAGTGTCCCGAGGTTCTTGTGAGGAGAGGCATTAGCAGTACGGAGAGCTGATACGTGTAATAGTATCAGTAAAACTGTGCCTCGTTCTACCTTCCTATTTTTTCGTGTGTGTATTTTTCTTTTGTTTAGCTGGTATCTTCTGTACTCTCTCTTATTTACATTTTTCTTTATTTCATTAAAAAAAGTTTTGCCCAATCA